GCAAAAATTATCTCTTTAATTATTTTTTATATTTTTACATTATTATTATTTTTATTACACTAAAAAGAAATTTTACAAATAAAAAGCAGTTGTATATAACATGTATGGAGAGATTTCATATATGTATAATTATACATATATAATTATAATTATAATTATATATGTTTATGAATATTTATACATGTTTATATGTATATTTATTACATATGTTTATGTATATGTATATGTTTATGTATAGTATTTACAGTGTATATACATATAGTATATACAGAGTGTCCGAAAAATCACTCGGAAAATACTTCAGGAAGGGGATTCAAAGAGAAGGAAAAAGAGCTATATATAAATATAGGTCCGGTAATAAGTCGTTTCTGAGTTATAACCACTTTTATTTTAAAAAATTGTAATTTATGTTTCACAATTATAATCATAATTCATTTCATAGTGTTTTAACATAAATAACTACATTTTGGACTGTTTTGTTATCCAATACATCATGGGGGCATAGTTCGCTTGGTATCCCTCTAGTAAAGTAAAAAGAATTTAAAAATTAAAAAATTAAAAAAAGAAGAACAAGCGGCCAATATAATCCAAAATGTAGTTATGTTAAAACACTATGAAATAAATTATGATTGTAATTACAAAAAATAACCTAGATAGCAAAATATTAGTAGAGTGCTATTTCATTATTAGGGTCTGATAAAATCTTTATCAAGTCCTCATCAGGATAGGCTATCCGAGGACCCGACTACTGTGTGACTGATCACGATATGATGAACTTATCTTATCAGAATCTGATAACGAAATAAGGTGACTTGATGAAGTGATTAAGACTTGCTAAAATTCCTAGATAAATTTCTAGTCGGGAATCACTTCCCGAAGTATTGTGGGCGATTTTCCTGTATATATATATATTATATATTAATAATCTATTCTATTAATAGAATTATGAATTTAGTCGAAGCGGATCTTAATACTTAATAATATTCATAATTCTATTAATAGAATCCATATACGACTTTTTTGCATATATCAATTAATGGAAAAAATTTTCTGCTTTTTATAAAAATAATCGAACAAAATGCATATGTCAATAATAAGTGGAAAAATCGATTGATAAAATAATATAAATAAAGAGAGAAAGAACAAGAGAAAAAATAAAGAGAAAGAATTCTAAATTTGGTCAAAGCGGCTCTTAATGCTTAATAATATTCATATCTAAATTCTCAAATATATTTTTCAATTTTATAAATTACGCATCGATTCGGTATGTTGAATTTGAAATGTAATCATAAATTGAAGCTGGAAATAATATTGATCAACTTTAATAATGATGCTAATAATTACATTTTAAAACACTGCAAAGAATTTATTATGAAAAATATCATCTAAGATGATTTAAATCTGGATCTCGGCTTTCCAGGATGGATGTCCTAAGATGCAATTTATAAATAATATTTAGTAATATAATTTGTAAAATATTATATATATATATATATATATATACATTCATGCATGAAAAATTT